GTTACTTCCTTACTCGAGAGTTGCAGCAGCGTGGTCAGCTTCATGTCGCTCACATGCCCACCCGGGCCAACACTGCTGATGTGTTCACCAAGGCCCTTCCGGCTGGTGATCATCAGCGCTTCTGCACTGCTCTAGGCCTGCTGCCTACGTTTCCTCACTTGCTGTAGACTCTGGTTGTACTGTGAATTATATATGCATACGTGCATGTTTACTCTTGCTAGGTAGTGATCACTGTACTGTTCTTGTTGCATATATACCTTTGCATGTGAACTGGCCTTGTGGCCCCTTTGCTTGTGCTCGAGTGTGTGGTGACGTTGTGATCCACCCCGAGCTTGCTTTGCTTTTCTTGACTGGTCTTGTGACTCCTTGTTCTCCCCCACTTTGCCTATGGGGGTGTGTCAAACTATATATGTATTAGTTCAGTGTAGGCTATAGTGGGGTAGCCCATATGGGGTACAACCCGAGGTTAGGGTTAGTACTTGTACCCACATTTGATTCAATGCAACCATCACTGCTTGCTTGACAGAAATAATAACCTGAAATATCGGAGTTTTTTGGCCAAATCAGAGAAATAAGTCTGATTTCTGAGGGCCTGACACTTACTTAAAAGGCGTACGGTATTATTTTTAGCACCCTTACTGAAAGACCAAGTACAGCGAAGTACCCTTCCAAGAAAGAGTACTTCAATTCCTATCCAGAGGCCTGAAACCGACCCTCATGTGGCCTTCTTACTCCTCACGCGTTGCATCTTGCAGCGCGCGTCTTACCTCACACGCATCACACCCCTCTGCCTTCTCTCTCTAGCTACGTGGAGTCAATGGGGGATGGACCTCCTTACAGTTACAGCTGCGTTAATTGTTGACTGTGTGCACTCTCTTTTTCGACTTGTACAGTAACAGTCTGCATCTTAGAGTTCCAATTAGGGCACATATCCGAGCAAATGAGACGGTTTGTTCTCCAATTTTGTATGGCAACTAAATAGCAACAAATTCATTTGAGTGGACTATACATAGAACTACACTGAACACATATAAAGGATGTGTAAATGGCACCCATATAACCACACTGAATATATTCTTCTCATATGTCAATTATTCAAATCAAGATCTATCATATGGTCCTCACCCTCATCCTGTAGTGCTCCCCCTTCATGATACGAACCTCTCGCAGCACCATGAGCAGAACCAAATCCGTCCATATGGGGTACAAAACAATGGTGGTTTCTTTTCGGAGCGGCTGGTTGCCTAGGCTGTCCCTTAGGGGCTGTGGGACGTGAAGGATGGAACGAATGCGATCTGCTATAATACTCGGTTTCTGGACGGGCAGAGCGTGTTCTGAGCGATTGGTTGGAGAGTTGCTGAGATGGCGGTGAGTTTTGGGCCGGTTCACAAATCGCCATGAGCGACTGGTTCGTCATGGTTTGGTGAGGTGGCAACAGTGGATGAGGCCGTGGAAAATGAGTGGATGCTGGCTGCTGATGTGGCAGTGAAATCTTGGTCATGCACAAAGCAGCGGCAGCTATGGCAGCAGTGGAAAAAGCAGCGGTAGCAGCAGCAGGTGCATCACGACCTGTGAAATTAGCAGGCATTGTGGCTTTACGAGAAGGTGTAGGTGCAAATGAGGGTGTATCTTTAACCAAACCTGAACATGCGACTGAGGGTGTACCTGTAACTGAAATGGTTGCTGAATGAGGAGTCATAGGGAGGGCTGCAGTGTGCACTGTAAAAGGCGGAGGGGGCAGGAAGAGATGTGATGGGAGTGCTCTGGGGGAAGCATGTGCTGCTGCTGATGGTGCTGCTGCTGATGGTACTGCTGCTGATGGTGCTGCTACAGGTGACGGTAGTGGTGGTGCTGATGGTACTGCAGCTGAATGTGCTGCTGTATGTGATGGTACTGCTGCTGCGGATGGTACCGCTGATGAAGGAGGAGAGGTTGGGAGGACACTGGCAGTGCTGCCAGGGACTGGATGAGGAAAGGGCAAAAGAAAAAGAGCAGAAGCAGTCAGCCTGGATGGGGTGGCAGGAGCAGGAGGATCAGCACGAGCAAGATAAGAAGCAAGCCCTGCAGGTGCTGTTGAATCTCCAGAGGATAGCAAAGCAGCAAGCGAAAGAAACTCGGCTGCAGCAGCAGCAGCAGCAGCCGTAGCAGTAGCTGGAGCAGCAGCAGCAGCAGCAGCCATAGCAGTAGCTTCAGCAGCAGCAGTAGCAGCAGTAGGCGCAGTAGGAGCAGCGTTGGGAGTAGCAGTAGAAGTAGCAGTAGCAGTATCTGCTGCTGCAGCAGCAGTAGCAGTAGGTGCGGTAGGAGCAGTATTAACAGAAGCAGTAGCAGTAGCAGCATCAGCAGTGCCGGGAGGAGGCAGAACTACTGAAACAGATTGTTCTGCTTCTTTTCCGCCTGACAGTTTCCCTTCTCCCTCCATTATTTTGGAGAGCATGTTGTCTCCTCGTTGGCATCCCAATCCCCTCTCCGTGCCTCCTTTGCTGCTCTGCACAATGTCATTCTGATCTGCACAGTCCTTGGGTGGCGCTCGCGGTGGGTGCTGCTGCTGCTGCTGCTGCTGCTGCTGCTGGTGTTTCTGCCGTTGCTGCTCCTGCAGGCACTGCGGTGGCGCACTTGTGAAGCTTCTAGCACACAAGTCATGTGGCGCTGCTGATGGAGCTGCTACCACTGCACTCACATTAAATCCTCTTACGTCTGGCAGAAAGGGCCCAATCGTCCCCAATACTTTGGCAAGGACAGAAAGAGGTGGTACAGCCAGGTTACATTTGTAACCTGCTGGAAATGTAGGTACTATTGCCTTAGTGACCCTTTCTGATCCAACCGCTCCCACTGGCTCCACTGTTCCTGCTGTTCCTCTTGCTCTTGCTTCTCCTGTTGATCCTCCTGATCCTGTTGCTCCTCCTGCTCCTGCTTCTCCCACTGCTGCTGCTGCTCGTCCTGCTCCAGCTCTGCTCATTCCCATGATGCCGGTGCTGCTCGCGAATATGCTGCCTAGTGATACACGACCATCTACTGACACATTGTTATTTTGAGACAGTGACAGGCTGGCACTGGTAGCAGAAGGCGCACAGAAGCCACCGCCGCTGCTGGTGGTGGTGGTGGTGGTGATAATACTGCTACTGCTGCTCCAAGCAGCAGCAGTAATACCTGGTCGCATAACCTCTTTACTAACCTGTTGTTGCTGCTGTTCCTGATGTTGCTTGGTGATGTGCCCTGCTACTCGCTGCTTGCTGCATGCTGCCCGTTGCACGTTCAAACCAAAAGTACGACCGAAGTGCCCATCACCAGCACCAATGGTGCAGGCACCAGTAGCAATCTTGCCATTGCTAGCGGTGTGAGCAGCTGCTGTAGCAGTGGCAGCATCAGCAGCAGTAGCAGGTGCCAAGGTAGCAACTAGAGGGGAAGCAGCCCCCACTAGGGCCGCCGTCGCGGCCGCTGCTGCTGCTACCGCCACCGGATCAGCGGCAGGAGTGACTGCAGCGGCAGCAGCAGCGGCAGCGGCGGCGGCAGCAGCTTCGGCGGCAGCTTCGGCCCGAAGCTCTTCCTTGAGCTCGGCAGCAAACTGGGCGGCGAGGGAGAGTGTGGTAGAGCGGGGACGGTCGGGAGGAGGGTGCGAGTGCTGCCCTAGAAGCACCACACGCGGCTGTAGCTGATTGTGGGACTGCGGGTGTAGCGGCAGCTGTGGCTGTGGCGGTGGCTGTGGCTGTAGTGGCAGTTGTGGCTGTAGCGGCAGCTGTGGCTGTAGCGGCAGCTGTGGCTGTAGCGGCAGCTGTGGCTGTAGCGGCAGCTGTGGCTGTAGCGGCAGCTGTGGCTGTAGCGGCAGCTGTGGCTGTAGCGGCAGCTGTGGCTGTAGCGGCAGCTGTGGCTGTAGCGGCAGCTGTGGCTGTAGCGGCAGCTGTGGCTGTAGCGGCAGCTGTGGCTGTAGCGGCAGCTGTGGCTGTAGCGGCAGCTGTGGCTGTAGCGGCAGCTGTGGCTGTAGCGGCAGCTGTGGCTGTAGCGGCAGCTGTGGCGGTGGCTGTGGGTGGAGCTGTGGGTGGGGCTGTGGCTGTGGCTGCTGACTGAAGGATGGCTGGGGAAAGGACGGGTGAGGAAAGGACGGTTGGGGGAGGGATGGATACTGGAAGGATGATAGAAGTTGGGGAGGAGAGGAGGGGTTCTGGATGGGCACGTCAACGGTCTTCTTGGCCTTGCACCCTGCTGCGTGCTGGGCACACCGGAAATAGGCTCTGGAGGCAAGGGTTGGGTTGAGAGAAATGTGGAAAAGCAAGGATAGGAGAGAGAAGCAATGGGGTTTTGACAAGGAGGTTTGAAGGCTCAGGGTTTAGGGTATGGGAAGAGTATTAGAAGAAAGTAATTACCATTGTTCTCTTGCCTGGCAGCTTGACCTGTGGTGGGAGGAGCACATTCTAAAAACAAAGAGTCGTCACATTTGATAAGCATGTAACATACACCCAAAACTTTACGTTGGACTTAACACTGATGAAAGCTTTAAGGCTTACGAAGATTGTTACTTTTGTGAAGGTTGTAACATTTGCAAAGATGCAACATCTACAGAGGATGTAAACTTGATGAAGGATAAGAATGCATTCACAAAAGGTTTTATTTAAGAGGGACGTGACATAAATGCATTCGCAAATGATGTAATACATCTGCAAAATGCTATAATCACAAAGGATGGAGACATCCAGGAAGGGTGCAGCACTCATAACGGGTGTAACATTGCTATATATTCACAAAGGACGTAACATTCACAAAGGACGTAACGTTCACTAAGGACAGAACATTTACGAAGGACATAGCATATACAAAGGACGTAACACTTACTAAGCACATAACTTATTCACACTCACCATACTCATTGCATGTATACTTTCACTCACACTCAATGCATGTATGCATCACATACTCACTGTGTACACGCATTCACACTCACTGTGTATACTCGTTCACTCACCGCGTGTATACTCTCACTCAAACTCACCCTCACTACTCGCTCACACTCACCGCGTGTATACCCGTTCCATGAGCACCTTCTGTCCGTATTTCAGCCAGTGGTACAGGTCCTCTTCACTCCCCTCTCTCTCCTCCCCACAGCCCAGCTCCTCCCGCTCTCCACAGCCCTTCTCTTCTCCTCCCTGTCCCCCATCCATCGTTCCCTTCTGACCCCCTTCTCTCGCTCCTTCCATTGCTCCCTCCGTTGTTCCCTCCGTTGTTCCCTCCGTTGCTCCCTCCGTTGCTCCCTCCATTGCTCCCTCGTTCTCTCCCTTATTTGCCACCCCCATTGCTCCCTCCCTTGCTCGCTCTTTTGCTCCTCGAAGGGTCTCTTTCTGGGCCTCGTCCTTAGCCCACTCCTTCACCTCCTTCTGATTCAGAATCATCACCCGAGTGTCCAGGAAAGCGGCCTCTCTCGGCCTCTCAACCATTGGCTGCTGTAACGTCAGTGGCTCCTCCTTTACCACCTGCGCTTGCCCCTCCTGTCCCTCCACTTGACCCTCTCCTGTCTTCAACCCCCCATCTGACCATGTCCCAATCCTCCTCCTTTTCTTAGCCACCCCAGCCACCTCTCTCTCCCCCACTTCTCTATAACAAAAGCCCTTCCTTTCGTCGTCGTCCAAAACTGGTCTCGCGTTTGCTAATCCAGACACTGTCACCACTGCTCTCTCCTTCCCTGCCCCAGACTCCTCAAGCAGCTTTGCACTGTAGCACTCACCTACACTGGTACCACCCGCCACGCCCCTCCCACCACCTCTACTCGTCCCTTCCACACTCCCGCTCTGCAGTGTCTCTTGCTTCACTCCTTTCTCACGCACTCCTGCCCTTCCACCTACTACCTCACCTCTCCCCCCTATAGACGCCACAACATGGGAGACAGACCCTAAGCCCTGTGGTGCCACCGTTCCCTCTCCCTGCAGCCCTTCCCTTTCCACTGCCCGTGCTCCTCTCTCCCTCCAAGCATCCCATCTCAGTACTCCTTTCCCTTTGCCCCCTACCCCTCCTTCTCCCCTGCTTCCCCAAAGTATCTCACGTTCAATCCTAGCCTTATCCCTCTCGTCTCCTGAACCCATCTCAACTCCTCTTGCTTCCAGCCTCATTCCATCACCACCCAACTGCTGGATCTCCCCTCTCCCCTCCTCCAACCGCTCCAAACCACGATGCTCCACAAGCAGCCGTGCATTCCTATGCGCCTCCTGCACGCATGCTCGCTCCATTTCTTGCTCGCCTGTGTGAACCGCCTCCTCAGGCGTTTGCTTATCCTCGTGCTGCTGTTGGCGTTGCTCCCCGTGTCCGTCTTCCTGGTTTCTACCCCTTGGATTCTTAGTCGCTCCCACCTCGTGCAATCCTCTGAAGCATGCTTGCTGGTGTGGGGAAGCGCTGTGGGAGTGGGTATGTGTACCGGTGCCTTGAGGCGATGCCTCTTGACTGCTACGGTAGGCGTCTTCATTGTATGGGAGTGGGATTCTGTGGAATGGGGATATGGTGAGAGAAAGGGAAGAGGAAGAACGAGTGAAATGGAGAAGGGGGGGCTGTGGGGGAGGGGGGGGGGGGGAGAGAGGGGATGGAGGGAGGGAGGGAGGGATGGAGGGATGGAGGGGACGAGGGAGGGAAGGAGGGAGGGAGGGGAAGTGGGATGGAAAGTGGGAGGGATGGATGGAGGGAGGGAGGTAGGTAGGTAGGTAGGTAGGTAGGTAGGTAGGTAGGTAGGTAGGTAGGTAGGTAGGTAGGTATGTAGGTAGGTAGGTAGGTAGGTAGGTAGGTAGGTAGGTAGGTAGGTAGGTAGGTAGGTAGGTAGGTAGGTATGTAGGTAGGTAGGTAGGTAGGTAGGTAGGTAGGTAGGTAGGTAGGTAGGTAGGTAGGTAGGTAGGTAGGTAGGTAGGTAGGTAGGACGGTAGGTAGGTAAGGAGGGAGGGAGGGAGGGAGGGAGGGAGGAAGGGAGGGAGGGAGGGAGGGAGGGAGGAAGGGAGGGAGGGAGGAAGGGAGGTAGGTAGGTAAGGAGGGACGGAGGGAGGGGGAGAGGGAGGGAGGGAGGGAGGAGGGAGGGAGGGAGGGAGGGAGGGAGGGAGGGAGGGAGGGAGGAGGGAGGGAGGGAGGGAGGGAGGGAGGAGGGAGGGAGGAGGGAGGGAGGGAGGGAGGGAGGGAGGGAGGGAGGGAGGGAGGGAGGGAGGGAGGGAGGGAGGGAGGGAGGGAGGGAGGGAGGGAGGGATGGAGGGAGGGAGGGAGGGAGGGAGGGAGGGAGGGAGGGAGGGAGGGAGGGAGGGAGGGAGGGAGGGAGGGAGGGAGGGAAGGGGGGATGGAGGGAGGGGGGAAGGGAGGGAGTGAGTGAGGGAGGGAGGGAGGGAGGGAGGGAGGGAGGGAGGGAGGGAGGGAGGTAGGTAGGTAGGTAGGTAGGTAGGTAGGTAGGTAGGTAGGTAGGTAGGTAGGTAGGTAGGTAGGTAGGTAGGTATGTAGGTATGTAGGTAGGTAGGTAGGTAGGTAGGTAGGTAGGTAGGTAGGTAGGTAGGTAGGTAGGTAGGTAGGTAGGTATGTAGGTAGGTAGGTAGGTAGGTAGGTAGGTAGGTAGGTAGGTAGGTAGGTAGGACGGTAGGTAGGTAAGGAGGAGGGAGGGAGGGAGGGAGGGAGGAAGGGAGGGAGGGAGGGAGGGAGGGAGGGAGGAAGGGAGGGAGGGAGGAAGGGAGGTAGGTAGGTAAGGAGGGACGGAGGGAGGGGGAGAGGGAGGGAGGGAGGGAGGAGGGAGGGAGGGAGGGAGGGAGGGAGGGAGGGAGGGAGGGAGGGAGGGAGGGAGGGAGGGAGGGAGGGAGGGAGGGAGGGAGAAAGGGAGGGAGGGAGGGAGGGAGGGAGGGAGGGAGGGAGGGAGGGAGGGAGGGAGGGAGGGAGGGAGGGAGGGAGGGAGGGATGGAGGGAGGGAGGGAGGGAGGGAGGGAGGGAGGGAGGGAGGGAGGGAGGGAGGGAGGGAGGGAGGGAGGGAGGGAGGGAGGGATGGAGGGAGGGAGGGAGGGAGGGAGGGAGGGAGGGAGGGAGGGAGGGAGGGAGGGAGGGAGGGAGGGAGGGAGGGAGGGAGGGAGGGAGGGAGGGAGGGAGGGAAGGGGGGGATGGAGGGAGGGGGGAAGGGAGGGAGTGAGTGAGGGAGGGAGGGAGGGAGGGAGGGAGGGAGGGAGGGAGGGAGGGAGGGAGGGAGGGAGGAAGGGAGGGAGGGAGGGAGGGAGGGAGGGAGGGGAAGTGGGAGGGAGGGTGGGAAAGAAAGAGGGAGGGAGGGATAGAGGGAAGGAGAGAGGGATGGATGGAGGGAGGAGTGAGGGATGTGGGGAAAGAGAGAGAGAGAGAGAGAGAGAGAGAGAGAGAGAGAGAGAGAGAGAGAGAGAGAGAGAGAGAGAGAGAGAGAGAGAGAGAGAGAGAGAGAGAGAGAGAGAGAGAGAGAGAGAGCGAGGGCGGCAGGGAGAGACAGAAAAGATGAATATAAATGAATGTTGTCGAAGCAGAGAACAAAAGCACGTGGACAGACGAGTGCCTTGCTGGAACCATGGAAGATGTGGACTTTTATTTTCTCTCTTAGTTTAGCTACTATCATGATAATGGCACTTCCGATTGTCCATAGAAGCTCTTTTTTCTCTTTATGCATAACACAATGTTTTATTTGGCAAGGATGCTCGTTCAAGTGAGGGGATACTTCACTTGAATGAACAAGTTTTTCATTCTATTGAAGAAGCGACTCCGCAAAATCGCTCGGACCTAGCAATTACTACCTCTCGCTATTGGTGTCGCCAAAGATCGCAGGTCCGGAATCGATAAATGCTCCACTTTCGCGGATATCATAATGTTTCCCTGGGAGTCGCCGCGGCGGATCTGCCGGCAGGGCATTATCCACTGCCACACAGTTCAATGGCGCCTGCAAAGTGTCGCCGCTCTTGGCATTCGACGGTGGAGTGGCAGCTTCACATGATTCGATCCGATCGTTAGATGACCGAATTACGCCGCGCCGCCCGCGTGCAGGAAAAACGTATGCTGGAAGGAAATGCTGAAGAGTTAGGTTCTTAGGAAGGTGGGAAACTCTCCCAATCTGGGGCCTTTCCGAACCGTCCGCGGCGAGACTGGTGCTGCTAGAACCTGTCACGTCTTGCCCTACGACCAAGCTATCCGTATTATCTGCCAGAGATGGTGAACTATAGTAACTGCCAGTAGCAGCGTTAGTGGTTCCGATAAATGTTCTATGTTCGTCCTTCATTGTTGCTGCTCCAGTTGTTGCTGCTTGCTGCTGTGGCTGTTTCTGCTGCTGAAACCCTGCCCGCCGCGAGCTAGCCTGCACCTCTCAAATGTTGGGGGCTTTGTTGTGTTCTGGGTGGTGCGTCCGACCACAAAGTCACCAAAGATCCTGGTACCTGTGTGGTACATGTACTGATTTGTTTGGAGTGGGTTGCACATGTGAAGCGTTCAGAGAGCTGAGCTCGAGGGTTGGCCTTGTTGGTCTGTCCCTAAACAGCCGCCCAGAACGGCTGGTGGAGAAATCGGGAAAGCAGGGGTTGGGCTGGGTTGGGTTGGGGCAGGTTTAAGCGTCTCATATTTTCAAGCGTACAGTTCTGTATACGTATGGAGGGAGGGCTTCGAAGAGAAGTGATTTGCTGGCGAGCCGTGAAATGTACTTTGACGAGGAAGAAACACTCATGCGAAACCTGCAAGATTTGAGTGTCGCTTGGTCTGCAATTTCCTTTCGTGGGCAACCTGCGAAGGGTGCCATGTGAGAACTATCACATTACGAGCAAGGCAAATTTTTCGTTTTTGAAAGCAACGGAAGGCTCAGGATTCGCCTGAGAAAAGACCCTGAAGAATCAGCATTCCCTCGAAAGTTTCCCTTCCTCGTCCGTGTGTTTTTTCCAATGTCCGAAAATGCACAACAGCGGTTCACACCTTAGGCGCAAGGACTAACAAACCTAACATTTACATTATATCTGATTGCACTTGTGGGCATCTTTGCATTCGATACCCCCACACAGAAACCAGTACCGAGGTCATAACTCAGGATGGTTCTCGAAACAATACTGAAAGACCCGAATGCTCGGCCAAATCATCCGGAAATAATCCGGATGATTTTTTAAACAATCCTGATGAATCAGGATTCACCAGGAAAACATACGGAATGTACCTGAGAATCAGGATGTTACCCTGATACCGAGGGCCCTGATTACGAGTGTATCAACTGAGACTAATTTTGCGAACCCACACCGTAAGCGAGACGATACATTGCACAAAGGTTCCTCTTCTATTCTTATGTGTGGTGGTGATTTGGGTGGGAAGGCTTTCCTAAGGCTGCACCCCATTTACAAGCACCTCGAGCAATATGAACCACAAAAACCGAAGTTTGACAGAAGAGACCAACGTCAAACGGTCAACAGAGAGTTACAAAATCTATTAAAAGCCCAAAGTGCGAATCGATGAAAACTTAGCGAAATGCAAGAATCACTTGAGAGCCCTCTTCACTAGGCAACCTTGGGCTGCTCAAACGAGCATCTTGTGTACCACTTTCTACCGCTTCAACGTCAAAACACGGGTTGCTGGAACCACCTCACTCAACCACTCAGTGGTGGCGACTCAATCAAGGCTGAATATAACCACGCGGCAAAGAAGTGTCCACAGGTTACCAGATCTGAAACGGGCAAGTGTGTAAAGAAAGCTCCATACGGGCAAGGAAATGTTTTTAGGCATTTGGTTTTTAGACCTCCATAGGAATCTGCGAGGGTACGGTAGAAACTCTACCTAAGCCTTGTAGCTCCGGTTACGACCGACGGTGTTTTTGCGTTGTATAATGCATTTTCACCTACAAAAAAAAAAATGCTGCCATCCAGTCCTCCAGAGATACAGTTACGCTTTCTTGAGCATCACGTGTCATAGAGCCACGCTGACGACTGGAAAATTCCCTACAGTTCTGTCCATTATACTGCACTGTCTATGCGCGGATGCGAATTGACATAGGCCAACACGATGCAGCGCAGGTACAAATGGCGTTGTTTAGGCCGAACAAATTGGGATTTGTTCAGCATTGGAGCATTGATGCTGCACCTGTGATTCGTCACAGAAGTCGCCTTGCGCAAATCGTAAATCATCCCTTAAAACACCTGTTGCTTAGACATCGATGTGTGCACTTCAAAAGAGAACTTGATTTCGCCAGCTGTCGCCACAGGTATAAAGTGACAATATTGCGTCAACATGGTAGCATGTGTAACTTTGGTGCCCCCAATCTGCGGGTGGCATTGCCAGTGATCTCTGTTCATTCAAACCTGACTGCATTTTTCAGTCCTCTCCCGAGGGTTGTGAGAGTGGAAAAACGCGCATGAATGGGAACGGTGTGGGGAGGGAAGGCGCGTTCAGCTGGTTCGAAATTTCTCAGGGCGCATCCATCTGGTCACGAGAAAAAAGTCGAGCTCAATGACTTCTGACGACTTCATTCTGTATTTAAAAAATGGCTTGGAGAATTCATCTTTGCGAAGCTACTGTATTGCTACAAAGTCCACATTTCTCTGAGGTCGTTGGTCCTCTTGTCATCGAACTGGACATTCGTGCCTCGCATCGCCCACCTTGTCTCCCACCCCTTCTCCTTGTCCTGCCTGACCACTGGCGAGAGGGCCGCCCGTCCTTGACGGGATGACAACATCGCCCAAGTTCCTTCCGTTTCAAGCAGCCACGCATTTCTATGATGATGGTGCCCCTGCAGCCACCCCATAATGTACTCCTTACACTCTCCTCCATTACAATAGCTCGCTGAGACAGTAGCCTTCTCTACACGAGTTTCTATGCGCAAAACTGCGGTTGCACAACACACAACCTCGATGTTATCATCCCCGATGCTTTTGACAGCACCTCAGGGTCTTTCTGGCTGGCTAAACTTCAGCCATTTCTGGTGAGCTAAGCGTCCGTTAGCTCACTTCAGGGCACGTCCGTTAGGTCATTCTCACAAGCCCACGAGTATGGAAGGTGAGGAAACTCTATGTATTTTCCGTCGTATCCCAGACGATATTCTTTTGGAGATTCTTAGCAGCATACAAGACATCCGCTGTCTAGCGCACTGCGCTTCGGTCTGCAAGTTATGGCACCGAAAAGCGCGCGAAGTCGAGACCGCAACGCTGATTTGCCCCGGCAATTTCAAGACCTATTGGGATAAGGTCATGGATATTGTCGATAAGCTACAGGGATTTCCCCGTTTGAAGAAGGTTCGCGTGTGCATCGGGACGAATGGGATGGGCGGGAGCGGTTCGGCGGGAAGACGTGACAATAGCGAGGCGTGGACCAAGTGCATGCGCTACGCCGAAATTGGCGCTTCGGTAGATAAGTTCCTGTTTCTCGCCGCGAAATCCGGGAGCGCGGATGTTTTCTACAGTAGCATCGGCGGGGGTGGCGGGGAGATGGTGGAAGGCGCGCTGCGCGGGGGAATGCCGGGAGGGCCGTGGGAGGGGGGAAGCGGACAGCACCGTGCGGGGACTTCAAGACAAGGGGAAGCGTCGTTTCTGAATGGGTTTGATGCGGTGGAAGGCGGCTGCGGGGAGGACATGCGCGGTGTGCACGGAATTGCCCGTTTGGAACGCGGACGAGAGGAGGAAGGGGGGGAGGGAGCGGGGGAAGGGGAGAGCGAGGAAATCGAGAGCGAAAGAGGGCAGCAGCAGCAGCAGCAGCATGAGGAGGAGGAGGAGGAGGGAGGAAGGGGGCAATTTGGATTTTCTTTTCCCCACACTTACATGGCACGTGATGCAGCATCAGCAGCAGCAGCATCAGCAGCATCAGTGGACCTAACTCTAAAGCAAGTCATGGGGCCGAGCGATGACTCGCTAAAGCGCATGATGCCTGTTATAATATTCGCCATTATAAGGGGCTTCGACGAGTTCCGGGACGTAATTCCCTGTCTATTGCTGAAGTTACCCCTGCTGCAGCAGCTGCTGCTGGTTGACGTCACTGACAACGTCACCATCCACATGCGCCCGCACCACATGGCGCAGCTTCGGCGGGCCAACCGCCGGACGTTCGGCGGGAGCCTAGGCTTGGAGAGCCTAGGCTCGGAAGGTTTAGGTCCGGAGAGTCTAGCAATGGAAAGTATGGTTCTGGGGGAAGGGAGCAGTGGGAATGCGGAAGGGTTAGTTGGTAGCGGGCGGGCGGAAGAGGGATCGCCAACGGACATGGTTTCGGAGATGGATGGTGGAATGGATGGTAGCATGGGTGGTAGCACGGGTGGTGGCATGATTGGTGGCATGGGTAGTGGCATGGGCATAGATGGTGCGGGAAGCAGCGGGATAGGCATGGGGGTAGGGGTGGGACGAGGCAGTACGCGCGCGTGCATGGGGCCATCGGATGCGTTTGGGGATGAGGAGTTTCGGCCAGAGCTGCTGGGAGCTGGCATGGATGCTGGCATGGATGCTGGCATGGGTATAGATGGTGCGGGCAGCAGTCATGTGGGCATGGGGGCAGCATCAGAGGCGTTTGGAGATGAGGAGTTTCGCCCAGAGCTGCTGGGAGCTGGTGCTGCTGCCTACACCGCTTCACTCGCTGGCCCCCCGGCTGCTGCTGCCGCTGCTGCATACACCCCCTCGCTCAACCCCCTCGCTGCACCCTCAACCTCAGGCACTCCACTCCCCCCTGCCCGCTCATCACCAGCACCTGCCCCTGCCGCTGCCCCTCCTGCTGCCGTTGCTCCTGCTGATCCTGCCCCTGCTCCTCCTGCTGCCCCTGCTCCTGCACGCACAGGCACAGCAGATCAAACCCCCGTGCTAGAAACCGCTGCTCCTGCTGAACTTTCCAGGCGGGACCTTTCTTGCCATCCTGACTCACCCAACTTCCACGTGTCGTTCTGGCGCACGGACAGAGTCCGGGTGGCTTATCCGCTGCCGCGTCAGCACCAGGAGCTGACTGACGTGTCAGTCTGTGTGGCCACGCAGGACTCTGTTGCGCTGGATGACGCTGACGTGGCGGAGCTTGCCAGGTCAGCTGTCGGTGGGCCTGTGCTGGCTGCCACTGTGGCGTTTCTCAACAGCCAATCATCCATGCATGCACTGTAGCATCACGGTAGCTTGTTCTGTGGCATACACTATAGCAGCACATGTCGATTGCACTGTAGCGTAACTGATCAAACCACCCTCCCCCCCTCACCCCCCCACCCCCCCCCCCCCCCCCCCCCGACCCCCCACCACCACCTCCCCCTCCCCCTCCCCACCCCCTTCCCCCCCCTTCTCCGCAAATCGTGCTGTGTGCTGAGGGCATGTGTTGTGATTGTGTGCATGGCACAGTCACCACTGTCCATCCAATCAGCCATGCATGCATGCCATGTGAGTGGGTGTGTCATTGTGCACTGCAGGATGGGTTGGGAAGGGATGGGTAAGGGGATGAGGGGAGGGGAGGTTCTGTGTTGCAATGCTGTGTATTGTGCGGGCACCGCTGAGTCAATTCCTTGCACGAATCAACTGTCGGTTGCTACCCTGGTGCTTGATGTGCAGTTGTGCTGTTTTCTTGTACAAATGTCACCTTCCCAGCAGACAGCAGTATTGCCTCACTAGTTGTTAGACAAATTCTGTAAGTGTTACGGCAGTAGTTGCTTGTTGTTACGGGTGCAATGGATCTAAGTAGCGAGAATTGCACTAAGGTGCCAAACGAGTACAAAATGTGAGCGAAGGCATGAGCGAACATTTATATGCGAAACATGCAAACGGTAACGCGGTGCGTGCGAGCTAGCTAGTGCTGCTGGCAGCGAGGCTCGGGCTAGTCCCGAAGCGTAGGCCGACACGGCCGGGCCAGCTGTGCGAGGTTTGGTGAAAACAGTGCGCACAAAGTCGGCGAAGCCCCGTTAACAGTAACGGGCGAACAACGGCTGCTGCAATACGCGATGTTGCAGGGCGCGCTAAGGAATATCGAGAAAATTCCCTACACTTCTGCAGAGGCATTAAGACCCAACTGGACCAACACAAAGCTGGAGCACAAGGATAGGATAGGAGAGGGTGGGTTACAGAGGGTTAGAATGGGACAGGACAGGAGGCTTCACAAAGATTACCAGCACCTTGATCTCAGCCATGCATATGCAGTGCTAGTGCTACACTCTCGCACCCTTGAAATCGAGCACATGTCCACCAGTCCATTCCCACTGTTTCTTCTAACACGGCAACAACACATAGGTAGTTGTAGAGGCAGCGAATCAAATCGACAGCGCTTGCTGCCTACACTTAACACTACATGCGCTGCTGTCAGGACTTGCTGCCACGAGCTCGCTTCCTCTGGCTCTTTGCCGACCGACGACCAGAGTTTTGGGTTGGCCGACCAGCATCTGGGGATTGCTGACCGGACTCTTCAAATTGCCGCCCAAAATCTTGCGGTTGCCGCCCAGAGGTGTTCGTGGTTGAAGCCCCCTTGTTGAATCTCGTGGTCTCCTCCATCTTGGTTGTTGTTTCTTCCATCATGGCACAGAACTCAGAGTAATCAATCTTGCCGTTCTGGACAGATCAAGGTAAGGGGAGAGAGAGAGAGAGAGAGAGAGAGAGAGAGAGAGAGAGAGAGAGAGAGAGAGAGAGAGAGAGAGAGAGAGAGAGAGAGAGAGAGAGAGAGTGCAAGAGTGTGTGTGCAAACAGAGGGGAAGGAAAAGAGCGTGCACGACTGCACAGATTCATGCGATGCGAAAAAGCGAGAAAACGGGGAAGGAAATGGGTGTGATTTGACCGCTCCTGTCTCACTTGACCACTCACTGCCTCCTGTCTCACTTGACCACTCACTGCCTCCTGTCTCACTTGACCACTCACTGCCTCCTGTCTCAACTTATCACTCACAGCCTCCTGCATTACCTGATCAGCGTCCACGTCAGCAAATATTCTCTTTATCTCCGCCTCGCCAACCCCAGCACTCCCGGCTTCCTTCTCCAGTGCACCGCGCAACTCATCCCCTGTGATGAATCTGCCAATAACAAGGACGTCGGATTGGCTATGTGTACATGAGAAATACAGAATAGAGATGGCAACAAATTAAAAAAACGTTTACTTCCACTTTCCCAGTCCACTTGATAACCACATTCTTAGCCTACCAACTTGAATAAGGTTAACCTGAATTGGGGGTACTTTAGCAACTTACCCATTGCCATCGGTGTCAAAGTGGGCAAACGCCTGCTGCAGGTGAGCCTCTCTGGTCTCCCTGCTGACTCGCATGGTAGCTGCCACAAACTCGTTATAGTCAATGCTGCCACTGCTGTCCACGTCAGCCTGTTACAAGCACATGAGGAGGTGGTTACAATTGATCCATTACAAGCACACGAGGAGGTGGTTACAGTTTATCCGTTACAAGCGCAGAAAGAGGTGGCTACAACTGATCCGTTACAAGAACACACAGGTGCAGCATGATGGGGTTGCGTGCACAATAACTTCCAGCGGTAAAGAATTCAAAATGAAATAAATTGAAACAACGGGGAGAAAGACAGCTAAGCCTACCGCTGCCATCATTTGCCGAAGTTGCTCCTTAGGCACGGTATCACCGAGCCTCTCAACCCCATTCCGAAGCTCAGCCAACGAAATCGTCCCACTGCCATCCCCATCCAGGGCTTTAAACATCTCTCTCAACCCCATGGCCTCAGCGTCAGACACGTGCGAGGCGATGAGTTTAAGAGTGAGGCGCTTGAGTCGGTTCATGGCTGCAAAGCGCTTCAGCCGAGTGATGACTGCCGGCGCTAGCGGTGTGTCGGCCGCTATGCCTCCCTCCCTCACCCACGGATGCTCTGGTTGAAGGCAGGGCAGGGGGAGAGGAGAGCAATACAAGGGCAGAAAGATGGGATTTTTGAAACACTGCCACTCCTCTCTCCCTCACCCGTGGATGCTCTGATGCAAAAAAGGGGAAGGGGGAGGAGAATTATGGGTGACCTAAACATGGTGAGTTGTAAGGAACGAGAGGGGGTGGAAGGGGAAATGGGCGGGGAGGAGGGGGAGGAACGGCGTGGGTTGCTTCACTTTTTGTGGTTCAGGCTTTTGAGGGCGGAAATTTGCCTTTCCAAGACAGCTTCTGCTGCTGCCGGTCGTCCCGCAGGCTCTTTTTGCAAGCAGTGCATGACGTCGGCAGCAGCACCATACCTGCACAGCACACTCACTCACATCCTGTCACTCCTGTTGCTTCCCCGAAGTCCTTACCACACGCCCACTCCCATACCCATCCATTGCATTGCCCGATGCCCATACCACACGCCACACACACATGCCATGCCACACCCCCACACACGATTCACCAAACACTCACACACCACACTCACACTCACGCCACACACACCACACCACACGCGCACCCATGAGCTGTGCTGCTGTCGGTCGTCTCTCTGGTTGCTGCTGCAGCAGACTCAGCACCAGCTGCTTCGCCTCTGTTGAAACCTGCGGCCATGGCTCCTCTGATTGGTCCACGTGGCCCCACAGAATCTCCTCAAATATCCCTTCGTTTGTCTCTGCAGAGAGGGAACGGAGAGGGGACAGGATTGGGCGGGAGAAGGAAGCGGCGAGAGGGGAGGCGGGAAGGAGGGGGGAGGAGGGAGAGGGTGAGGGGAGGGAAGAGGGAAAAAGGAAGAAGGATGAATGCAGCGAGGGTTAAACAGACCATTCTTGAAGGATACAGGAAAGAGTTTGGGAAAAACATGGAGAGGGAGGAACAAACAAATGAGGGAGGGGTGGGTGGGCAGGGGGGGAACAGAGGGGAAAGGAGCAGGGAGGAGGAGGAAGGTGAGTGCATGAAGAACAGGATAAAGGGTGCATAAAGGGCGGCGAATGGCAAGATAAGCTGTCATTATCCCTCTTCACCCTCCGCCCCTCTCCTACCCTGCCCCCTCCCCTCCTTTTTTACCACCTCTCGTCCCCCCCCCCCCCCCCCCCCCCCCCCCCCCCCCCTTTGTTACCACCTCTCTTCCCCTTCACTCACGTCAGCCCCAAACCAAAGGGCCACCAGTGGCTTTTTAAGCCTCAGAAACATCATCCCTGTTCCCTTCCAAGAAAGTTCAGTCTTGAAGCTCCTCGGGTCATGGTGGTTTCATTCAAATACCACCTGGAACTCCTTATAACGGGTACAAGAGATTACCTGCCCAGAAGGGCGGAGATCCCGAGAGCAGGATGTAGAGCACGACCCCCACGCTCCACAGGTCCGCCTCCGGATGGTGTCACTTCAAGACCCCATACAAAGCCTTATAACGGGTACAAGGCTTTACCTGCCCAGAAGGGCGGAGATCCCGAGAGCAGGATGTAGAGAACGACCCCCACGCTCCACAGGTCGGCCTCCGGGCCGTAGCTGCCTCGGATGACCTCTGGCGCCATGTAGAACGCGCTGCCCGCTACTGTGTGCAGCAGATGGCCTTGTAACGGGGATAGATGACGGATTGGTGTGGATGGGATGGGTGCGGTTGGGTGGGGTGGGGTAGTGTGTGGAAGATGGGCGGATTGGGCGAGGGAGGAGGGGAAGGGTGATGGGGGGGGAGAGGGACGGAGGGGGAGAAGAATGGAAGGTAGCGGGGGAGAAACTGTGATGTGCTGTGATGAGCGGCAACGCTTGCTTACCTGGCCTATAGAACGCGGACAGTCCAAAGTCGACGGCTTTAAGCGGCGCGCCCTCCTCTTCGCTCGATACAAGAAAGTTCTCGGGCTTTAAGTCCCTGTGAATCACGTAGTTGGCGTGGCAATACCTCACCACCGATACAATCACACGGACCACTTCCGCTGCTGCGCGCTCGCTATAGTGTCTTCTCGCTATAATATGATCGAATAACTCGCCGCCTGTACAGAGCTCCATGACTATATACACCGCAGAATCGTCCTCATAAGCACCTTTCAGATTAATCACATTCGGGTGATCCGATAAGAGGTGTAGAATGGCGATTTCTCTCTTGATGTCTTCCACGTCGTTGCTCGTTATAAGCTGTTTCTTCGATATAAGTTTACACGCGTATTGTAGACCGGTGCGTTTCTCCGTGCATATGTAAGTCACTCCGAACTGACCTCTTCCTAATTCCCGTCCGAAATTGAACAAATCGCGAACGTTTTCCGTCTCTCGGCCAAGTATGGAATCCGTCAACTTGCTGCCGGTGTCCCTAACGGTCGCTGGATCCTTACTAGCATGGACTGGCGAAACAAGAGATGTCCTACCATCGCGTCGGGTTGCCCGTTTCGCTAGCGACGGAAATCGTTTCAAGAGGCTCCCATGGACAGACCCAGTGCGTCCTGCACCAGCAACAGCTAAGAGAACGCAACCGTCGCGACGGCATTGTAACGAATGCGATAATGGCGAGAGATACTGTCTTGCCCCCGCTAGGGGAACCTCCACATGCAGAGCGAGGCGAAGAGACTCAAGCATAGATAGGAGAGGAACTACCGACGCGGCTTGCACCGATTGACGGCACTGGCTCAGTTCGCCTAAAATGCAGTTGCTGTTGACGGAGATAGGGACGGAGCTTCACGATAACGCAAACAGAACTTCAATTCACGATAGGGACAGAGCTTCCCTTTGACCATCGCGTGGTGGGGCGGGTGTGTGCATGTCAGTGCTCGTAGTGCATTCTCCGATTCACATTTTACGCCGGTTATTTGCAGCATGAATATACGATTCACCTTATAGACCAGGCGTGGTATGCAATTGTGTGGCTATTACCAATCCCTGCAACATTATTGTTATATCACAATCATACACTCGCACACAAAATACAAAGCCACTGAAAGGCACTGAATATTCTACTTTTCACACTAACCAGCTATGTGCTAACTGCTAAGCTGAACCTTCTACTTAGCCAAACTTCTTCTGCATAACATAAAACACACAAGCACTTAAAACACCTGCCAAAACTCACTGCACACACCATAGATACTTGAGCACGAGGCACACCAGAGGGCAACAAACACACACAAAAAAAACAAACAAAACTTTCTACGAAGTTGAATTGTCGCAGATGATGCCACCTTGCTTCATCATCTCATCCCACCTGTCAACACTCACACACGCAGAGCGCAAGGGAGCTCCAGCGTCACTTGGAAGTACGGTGACACTTTCTGGGCTGCCGCGAGTGCTGCACTTCGCCATGCATCTTGGAGCTTTTTGTATCAACTCATGATGCAACCTCCGTCTCACACCTGTCACCACCACTCACGCACGTGGAGCACAGGGCAGCTCTAGTGACACCTGGAAGTAGCACTTATTGGGCTGCTGCAGGTAGTGCACATCGCCGTGCATCTGGGGAGGATCACGAGCACAATCAAGCTCGCGGAGCGCAACCAAGCTCGCGGAGCGCAATCAAGCTCGCGGAGCGCAAGGGAGCTCTAGAGAAACCTGGAAGTAGCACTTGTTGGGCTGCCGCAGGTAGTGCACATCGCCGTGCATCTGGCGCAGCAGCGAGCGGTACGAGACGAGCGCATGCGCCTGGTACGACGCCTCAGGTGAATCCTCAGGGCACGAGGCAAGGCCAAACATGTGCTGGATTATGGCGTCCTCAATCCCCGGCCCTGATTGGATAATCCTGCAGAGGCAAAGTCACCAGGGAAAAGGAAGGGGGTAGCGGAGGTGGAATAGAGAGGTGAGGCAGGGAGGATGCTGTTTTACACATAAGCTTGTGAGTTGCTGAATGCGCGATAACGAAAAGCAAAGGCAGATTGTGATTTGCGTTCCCCAGGGAAAGGAAAGGTGGAGGGGAAAAGGATGGGAAAGGTGGGAAGAAGGGAGGAAGGTGGGTGCAATCGTCGTCGGAGAAACGGTTCCCTCCTTCCCCACGCCATCCATTCCTCACCCCCCTCACCTCACCACTCCTCCTCACCCCTCTCCCCGCCCCATCACTCCCCCTCGCCCTTCCACTCACCGCAGCTCTATCTCCACGGCCAGCATGCGGCTGGGGCTGGGCGCTAGCTGCAGCACCAGACCCCGCATCTCTGAATCACACATCATCCATCTCCTCCTGCATCACCCACCCCTCCTCACCCTCGCCCCATCGCTTCCAACCACTCATCCCACACCCCTCACCGCACACCACCACTCACCGCAGCTCTATCTCCACTGCCAGCATGCGGCTGGGGCTGGGCGCCAGCTGCAAACGAACGGTGCCGCCCGACGGGGTGGACTTGACGGCCGCTACAGTGATGCCGCCCAGCACCTGCTGCAGCAGCAGCTGGTTGCCCACGAGGCGCGTGGAGGCGACATCTGGCAGCGCGTCATAGGTCAGGTCGATGGAGCGGCGAATGGCGTGCTGCATGGCTTGGCAGACGGCTGTGTTGATGAGTGATGCCATTGTGAAAGGCGCTGAGGGCGTGAATGGCAGCATGCTGGGAAAAGGGTGTAGGGGAGTAGAAGGGACAGGCAGGGTAGCAGGGGGAGTGGAGGGGACAGGGAGTGAAGGTGAATGGTGTGCTGCATGGCCTGGCAGAGTGCTCCGTTGATGAGAGAGGCCATGGTGAAGGGCGCAGCAGAGGGGGTGAATGGTAGCATGCTGGTTGGAGGGAGAGAAGGGGGGGCGTAGCAAAGACAGGTAGGGTAGGAAGAAGGGGGTTGAGAGAGGGTGGGGGGTTGCGAGAAGAGTTTTGAGCCGTGTCAAAACAAAACTGAGCAAACCTGCCTACCCACAACAACATCATTTCACTCCCACAGCATACCTGGGGTGTGAGAACACAGCATACCTGGGGTGTGAGAACACAGCCGCATCAGCCCCGCCTCTACGTAAAACGTGCAGACATACATCCATGCATTCCATTGCATGCATGCATGCGTGGATATATGCATACACAGCATACATACACACATCACCGCATACCTGGGGTGCGAGAACACAGCAGCATCAGCCCCACCACCGCCGCCCTCTCCGCCGCCCAGCGGATCCATCTGAGTGTGCAGCAGGCGCATCAGCTGCGCGTCGCACCTCGCCATCGCCTCCATAAACTGCCAAACCTTGCCGCCCGGGGCGGCGGCAGACGGGGCGGCGTGAGCGGAGGGCGAGAGCGGGGAGGCGTCGAGGAGGGAGCGGTGCAGCAGGGAGCGTGCATGCACCATGCCGTGCACTGCCCCTGCCATGGCCTGCCTCACGTAGGCGAGTTGCTTGGAATGCCGCTCGATTAACTGAGGGGTGGGTGGGTGAGAGGGGACGGTGGTGTGGGAGGGGGTGGTGGTGGTGGTGCGTGGAAGGAGCAAGGGAAGGAAATGTGGAATTTAAAGAGTGAGTCAAGAGGAATTCATAAAGGGAGCGGTGCAGCAGGGAGCGTGCATGCACCATGCCGTGCACTGCTCCTGCCATGGCCTGCCGCACATACGCCAGCTGCTTGGAGTGTCGCTCAATTAGCTGGTGAATGGTGTCCGGGGGGAAGGGGGATAAGGGGGATAAGGGGGGATGGGATGGATATGGTGGTGTGAAAATGGAGCAAGGGAAGGAAACGGGAAACCAGAAGGTCAGACGGGGGCAGGCTTGTAGTGGTGCAGCAGGGAGCGTGCATGCACCATGCCATGCACTGCCCCTGCCATGGCCTGCCTCGCGTAGGCCAGCTGCTTGGAGTGTCGCTCGATCAACTGAGGGTGGTGCAAGGTGGGAGAGGAGGAGGAGGTTGGTGATGTGGGGTGGAGGGGGGATGGTGGGGCGTGGGAGGAAAGGGATGGTGGTGCGTGGAATCATGGGAACAATGGAAATAGGAACAGAAGACAGGCAGAAGAGGAGCAGAGGCTCAGCGCCTGCCCACCACACGCATAAATGCAAAATACTAAATCCGAGTCGCCCACCACACGCATAAATGCAAAATACTAAATCCGAGTCGCCCACCACACGCATAAATGCAAAATACTAAATCCGAGTCGCCTACCAAACGCATAAATGCAAAAGACTAAATCCGAGTCGCCTACCAAACGCATAAATGCAAAATACTAAATCCGAGTCGCTTTTGAAATCTCTCAAAAGCGACTCAGCGCCTACCAAACGCATAAATGCAAATAATTCCCTCCACTCAGGCCCCACTCCCCCCCCCAACCCGCCAACTCGCCCCCCTCTCCCCCCACCCCTTCCTTCCGCTCAAGCCCTCTGCCGTTCTTCTTCCTCTCACACCCTCTGCCCTGTGCTGCACAGCCAGAGTCTGCATGGGTTTTGCCACATGCACACATGGACACATGCACACATGGACACATGGACACATGCACACATGGACACATGCACACATGGACACACACCACACCACCTCCTTCCTCACAGTCACCACCCCTCTTCACCCCCGCTTCCCCCGACCCCCATTCAAGTTCCCCTTCCCGCTGTTATTCCACTCACCCCATCTGCCTTTTGCTGCACGGCCAGCGCCTGCATGAGGTCAGGGCTTGCCACGTGCCCTGCATGAGGTCAGCACATGATATCATCTCCACTCATCCCCCTTTACTCAATCCAACCCCACCAATGGCCCTCCAGCATTCACAATCAACCCCCAACCCCCTCCAACTCCCTCCCTGTTGCTCCACTCACCCCCTCTGCCTTCTGCTGCACGGCCAGCGCCTGCATGAGCTCAGGGCTTGCCACGTGGAGGAATCCAAACGCCCCTGCTGCCCTCCCATCGCCGCCCAGCCGCTGCTGCACCGTCAGCAGCACCTCCACCATACGACCCTGGCACGGGGCGGGGTGGGAGAAAGAGAGCAGGGGAAGGGATGGGAGGGAGAGAGCAGGGGAAGGGGTGGGAGGGAGAGAGCAGGGGAAGGGGTGGGAGGGAGAGAGCAGGGGAAAGCAGACCCACAGGGCCTCAAGCTGCAGCAGTCTCTAGCGCTGGCGGTTCAGACACGCCGCTTCCTGAGGGTCATGAACGAGGCAAGGCGGATGCGCCCCAACCCCCTCTCTGGCCATGCCCAGAGAATGCAGTCGGTGCTCGGCCCTGGTGCGGGAGATTGGCTGCTGGCACTACCCATCATACCCTCGCTTAGGATGGGACCCTCCCAGCTCTCCTCCGCTGCCGCGTTCCGCCTGGGCCTCCCCCTACCTGTCCCCAGGCGCTGCGACTGCCGCTACCGCACCAAATTCCCTGATGACCGCCTCCCAAACCATCTCATGCGCTGCGAGAAAGGGGGGGGAAGGATTGCGACTCACCATGCGCTCAGGGACGAGATTGCCTTGATTGCGGCAGAGGCGGGATTCACGGTGCACAAAGAAACCTATGTATTCTCTCTCGTTGAAAACCTGAAGGCGGACGTCGCAATCCGCCATCCCCGGACGGGAGAGGTTTGGATGTGCGACGTGACAGTGACGGACCCCGTTTCTCACCAAGATGAGAACTGCAATAGAGCACCGGGGTGGGCGGCTAGGGCAGCTGCGGACAAGAAGGAGCAGAAATACGCGCGCCGAAATGCGTGGGTGGGCTTCCATGCCCTAGCGGTAGAGACATATGGGTACCCCTCGCCCGGGGTGCTGGCATTCTTGCGGCAGTGCGCGGAGCTGGCGGCCAAGTTGCGATTCAACGCAGCCCCCAACTCCTACGAGGCCGCCAAGCTGCTGACGGAATACCGCCAGCGCTGGAGCGTGTGCCTCCAAAAAGCACAAGCCAACGCCCTCCGCTGCAAGACCAACGAGGCGATAGCAGCGGACGAGCTCGGCATGCGGGGCCCCTTTGCCCCCCTTAGCGAAGGCCAGCTCTACCAGCTAATAGAGCCCTCGTTCGACCTTTAGGGTCGGACGGAGGGGGCAGGAGGGAGTAAGGGAATGAGGTAGTTAGGTAGACCAAGTGTTATGTCTAGGTTTGCATGTGTTTGCATCTTCCCATGTATCTCCCATCAATCAATACCAGGGCCATTCGAGAGCAGGGGAAGGGGTGGGAGGGGGCGAAGGAGGATAGCGAGTTGAAGAGAAGGGCACTGAAGCGAAACAGCTGTTGCACTGCCATTACCACCTCCACCAGACGACCCTGGCAGGGGGAGTGCACTGGGGGGAGTGGAGAAGGAAGACAAGAGGGGTGAAGGAAGACAAGAGGGGTGAAGGAACAAGCACACTCGACAAAACCACTGCCGCGCTGGGAATTAGACATCATGAAGTTGCACCCTCCCTACCTTGCCGTTGCAGGGTGGGTGGGTGGGTGGGTGCGTCTTCTCCTCGCCACCAGTGTCCTGCCCCGCCATGGTGACGAGTGGGTGGGTGAGGAAACTTGGCTTTTCCACCCACCTCCCTACCCCTCCTCCCTACCCCACCTCCCTACCCCTCCTCCCTACCCCACCTCCCTACCCCTCCTCCCTACCCCTCCTCCCTACCCCTCCTCCCTACCCCACCTCCCTACCCCTCCTCCCTACCCCTCCTCCCTACCCCACCTCCCTACCCCTCCTCCCTACCCCTCCTCCCTACCCCTGCTCCATACCCCACCTCCCTTCCCCTCCTCCTCACCTTGGCATTGTGGAAGGCAAAGTGCGTCTTCTCCTCGCCACCAGCGTCCTGCCCTGCCATGGCCCGCGACAGCATGATGAGCAGCCGCGTGAGCGAATCATCGTTCGCCAGCTGGCACATGCGGCCAAAGATGATTCCTGGGAGCATGCAGCCCAGCACCTGAGGGGATGGATGGGGGAGGGCGGGTAGAGGGTGGATGAGAGACGGGGGATGGGAAAGGGTGAGTGGGAGAGGGGGGATGGGAAAGGGTGAGTGGAAGAGGGGGGATGGGGAAGGGTGAGTGGGAGAGGGGGGATGGGGAAGGGGAGAACGGCCATGCGACCAAATCGATCCCTGGGAGCATGCAGTCTAACACCTGAGCGGTTTTGGAGGGTGGATGGGAGAGGGTGGGTGGGAGAGGGTGGGTGGGAGAGGGTGGGTGGGAGAGGGAGGGCGGGTGGGAGAGGGTGGGTGGGAGAGGGTGGGTGGGAGAGGGTGGGTGGGAGAGGGTGGGTGAAAGGGGAAGATGATGGATGGGGAGAAGTGGGGATGCGAAGCGGGGGAAGGGAGATCGGCACATGCAGTCAAATTCAATTCCTGAGAGCACGCAGCCCAACACCTGTGCGGATGGAGGGGAGGGAGTGGTGGGAGAATTTAGGTGGGAGGCGAGAGAGTGGAGGAGGGAGGGTAGAGGGTGGGTGAGGAGAGGGTGGGAAGGGAGAGGGTGGATGGGAGAGGGTGGATGGGATGGGAGGGAACAGAAGAGCGGGCAGGAGTAAGGAAGGGAAAGGAAGGAAGGGAAGTAAAGGAAAAAGGGAGGACAGACAGGGAGGGGGGGAATGAAAGCAAGAGGACGGAGAGGGACGCGTAGAAAAAGGATGAGAAAGGACACTAAGGAAAGGATGAGAAAGGACACTAAGGAAAGGATGAGAAAGGACACTAAGGAAAGGATGAGAAAGGACACTAAGGAAAGGATGAGAAAGGACACTAAGGAAAGGATGAGAAAGGACACTAAGGAAAGGATGAGAAAGGACACTAAGGAAAGGATGAGAAAGGACACTAAGGAAAGGATGAGAAAGGACACTAAGGAAAGGATGAGAAAGGACACTAAGGAAAGGATGAGAAAGGACACTAAGGAAAGGATGAGAAAGGACACTAAGGAAAGGATGAGAAAGGACACTAAGGAAAGGATGAGAAAGGACACTAAGGAAAGGATGAGAAAGGACACTAAGGAAAGGATGAGAAAGGACACTAAGGAAAGGATGAGAAAGGACACTAAGGAAAGGACACTAAGGAAAGGACACTAAGGAAAGGATGAGAAAGGACACTAAGGAAAGGACAGGGACGAGAAAGAGAGTCATGGGGCGGGTGTGATAAGTCGAGTTTTGAGTGGACTGGGAAGTCGACTTATCACACAAAGAGAATTATGGGGCGGGTGGGGGACAATTTGGGCACGGAGGCGTGGACGGGGAGAGGACAAGAGCACACCTGGGAGCGCTTGAGGCCCGTGATGCTCTCCATGGCTGGGTTCCACTCGGTGCAGAAGCCAGATGCTGGGGTTGGGATGGGTTCAGAAGGGCATGGGCAGTAGAGCGGAACGTGAGCGGGTGGGCAGAATTGAGCTTGGGGATAGATGGCAGCAGAAGCGTGAGCAAATTACGGCCGGCACGGCTCACCACGGGCGGCAGAGCTGGGTGGCAAAAAAGACTCATTGGCGGTGGCAACGATGGGCGTCACTGCGTAAGAAATGGGCGGCGAAACGACTCACCGTTGGTGGCAAAGATGGGCGGCATGAGGGAGTTGTGTGTGTTGATGATGGTGGTGAAGTCGCCCTGTATGCGCACGAATCGCGTCCTGGCAGCTGTCTCCTCCGTCACGTCCTGCCCCACGAAGCACACCCCCACGATGCTCTTCTCCGAGTCGCGGCTCACAAACGTGTTCACCTGCAGAGGAATAGAGGGAGTATGATGGGATCCAGTGGGGTAGGGTGGGGTGGGGTGGGGTGGGGTTGCGTGGGTTGGAGTGCGGTAGAATGGGGTGCCGTGGGCTGGCGGTTTGAAGAGGCATTACATCCTGCACGATGGATGGCGTGGGGAGTGAAATTTATAGACTGGATACATATTACAGAGCCGCATGAATCGGAACAATAAAATGACGACTTAAAAAAAAAACAAAAAAACACGACTAAGTGCAGTGCACTCACGTGCAGGGTGGCGTAGGGCATAGGAGGCCCCTTGCCCCTTGCCCCTTGCCCCTTGCCCCTTGCCCCTTGCCCTTGGCCGTTACCCGTTGCCCCTTGCCCTTGGCCCTTGGGAACAGTTGCTGCCACTGAACGACATGCCACTCCATTGGACTCACGTGCAGGATGGCGTAGGGCGTGGGAGGCCCCTTGCCCTGGGGAACTGACCCCCACCGCTTGAGCTTCAGCTCCAGCTGCTGCTGCTCCTCGCCTGCACATGCATGTGCATGTGCATGTGCATGTGAAAGTGAGAGTGGATATTGATGGGTGATATACTTAGCAGGTTTGTCGTCCATCTGGAATTCTTCCTCATTAAATTAGACTCTCTCGCCCGAAATCAACAAGTTCACCATTTGCACGAGCACCAAAGACGATAAGGGAAGGGAGGAGGGCAGGGGAAGGGGTGGGGAACGTGTTTTGAGTCGACTCAAACCACGGGCAGGGGAAGGGGTGGGAGTGGGTCAGAGCATGCAGGAGGGTCAATGGACAAGAAAAGGATTTTGGGTTAGAAGGGAAGGTTGGGGGTGGGGGGCAAGGACGGGGGAAAGAGAGGGTGGGGAAGAAGGGGGGGGGAGGATAACCAGCTAATCACTCATCTTCTTTGAGAATTCTTACATATTCGCTGCTCTCACCTGCCAGAGCGAGTTCAAACGCGGTCCTCGTCTTGTCCACACAGGACGGGTCGAGACAGGTGTCGAGCAGCGATTGGCCGATGGCGTCGGAGAAGGAGAGCCCTGTGATGGCCGCCACCTTGCCGTTCCACCCCGTGATGTTGCCCTCCAGATCAACGGCCAGGATCGGCGCAGACGCCGTCTCGATCAGACGGACCAGCTCGTCCGCTGCCACTGCCAGCTCGCTGTTGTTCTGCGGAGGGAAAATGGTAAACGGGGGTTGGAAAGGGTGGAGAGGGGTGGAAAGAGGTGGAATGGGGTGGGATGGCGTGAAGGGGGGTGAAACCAACCACCTCCAGGAACGCCTTGAACTACACGCCAGGGTTGCTGCTTCAGCTGCTGCCTCTACTCTACTCGAGCTGCCCTCTACCAGTTTCTACTGGTCTCCAAAGGCCTTCTGAAGCGGTTACAGAACTGGGACAGTCCCCGCTGCCTGCTCACCTGTTTGCCCATGGAGATGAGCCGTCCCATGCTCTCCTTCCGTCTGACCAACTTGCACAGCAAATCCTGCAGGCTGTGAACGGCGTCCACCTCCACGTCGGCCCACGGCAGCGCGCGGTGCCGCACCAGGGAGTTTTTGAGAATTCTCAAAAAATCCCTTTCACGTCGGGCCACGGCAGCGCGCGGTGCCGCACCAGGGAGTTTTTGAGAATTCTCAAAAACTCCCTTTCACGTCGGGCCACGGCAGCGCACGGTGCCGCGCCACCTCCAGGAACGCCTTGAAGGACGCCCGCGGGTGCTGTTGCCTCTGCCGCCCATACTGGTTTCTACCAGCGCCTTTTCAGGCGGCTCATGGCTCAACCAGCAGCACTCTCTTGTGTGTCTCACCTGTTTGCCCATGGAGATGAGTCGCCCCATGCTCTCCTTGCGCCGCACCGACTTGCACAGCAGGTCCTGCAGGCTGTGAACAGCATCCACCTCCACATCGGCCCACGGCAGCGCGCGGTGCTTCACCACCTCCAGGAACGCCTTGAAGGACGCGCGGGGGTGGCGCTTCTTTGCATCGTCCACATCCAGGGGGTTGTGCCGCGCGCCGCTCCACTTGATCGACTTCTCCACGTGCGACCGGAACCAGAACAGGTAATCCCCCGTGATGCCGCTCACACTGCTCACACCACCGCCGCCGCCGCTCAAGCCGCTGAAGCTGCTCCCGCCGCCAGCGCCGCTGGTGCTGCTGCCGGATGGTGAAGGCGGGACAGGCAACGCAGCCTCCCTCCCCTGCTGCTGCTGCCGCTCCTGCTGCTGCTGCTGCTGCTGCTCGTCGGCAGGAGAGAAGCACACGACAACCATCCCACACACGTCCACTCCAAGCGTATCCGCGTACGGGAATCCAGCACCCTTGAGGCTATCCGTGCTCAGCCCACTGGACCCGCAGTGTTCCCTCTGCAGCCACCGCACAAGCTCCCCGATCATGTCTTCTGAAGGGCAGACGCCGAGGCGGGAGAGCTCCCCGCGGAAGAGCACGGCGGCGCCGTCGCAGGGGAGGAGGTCCATGATGTTGGGCGCGGAGGACACGAGCGCTCGGATGGGGTTGTCCGTGAGCAGCGTGTCGCACAATAAAGATTGGATTTGGAGAATCTGCTTCTCGTGCAGCTGGGCAGCGATCTCGAGCTCCACTGAGAGCTGCAGGCCGAACGCCTGGGAGGAAGTGGGGGCAGGGTGGAAAGGGGAAGGGGTTTTGGGAGGGAAGATGGAAAGGAGGAGACGGTTGAGGGACCTTGCCTTGGAAGGCATCTCCTCCAGCAACGCAGGGGAGGAGATCCATGATGTTGGGCGCGGAGGACATGAGCGCACGGACGGGATTGTCCGTGAGTAGGGTGTTGCACAATAAAGATTGAATTTGGAGAATCTGTTTCTCGTGGAGCTGGGCAGCGATCTCCAACTCCACTGACAGCTGGAGGCCAAATGTTGGGGGAAAGGGGGAGAGGAGGGAGGAATTAATAGGAGAGAGTTGAGAGAGGGGGAGGTAGGGATGATGGGGAACATTTGAGGCGCCTTGGAAGTCATACCCCCTCTGCCCGTCGCAGGGGAGGAGGTCCATGATGTTGGGGGCGGAGGACACGAGCGCTCGGATGGGGTTGTCCGTGAGCAGCGTGTCGCACAGGAGGGACTGGATCTGGAGAATCCGTTTCTCGTGGAGTTGGGTGGCTATCTCGAGCTCCCCTGAGAGTTGCAGGCCGAACGCCTGGAAGGAGAGGCGAGAGCAGGGGGAGGGAGTGGAGGAAGAGGGAGAAAAAAGGGGCTATTGAGGCCCCTTGGGAAGTCTTGTCCTTGGTCGCAGGGGAGGAGGTCCCCTTGATGTTGGGAAAGGAGGAGACGAGCGAGCGCGCGGACAGGGTTGTCGGTGAGGAGAGTATCACAGAGGAGAAACTGGATTTGAAGGATCTGCTTCTCGTGCAGCTGGGCGGCTATCTTGAGCTCCACTGACAGCTGGAGCCCGAATGCCTGGAAAGGGGAGGTGGGAAGGGTTTGGGAGGGGGAAATGGATGGGGAGGGGCGATTGAAGCTCCTTAGAAGTCATCATGGGGGACAGGGTGAGAGGACAACACAACATACTCATCATCCTACAACCTCACCCTCCCACCCTGCCCTCCCCCTGCCCTCCCCCTGCCCTCCCACCCTGCCCTCCCCCTGCCCTCCCACCCTGCCCTCCCCCTGCCCTCCCCCTGCCCTCCCCCTCACCTGCATGAGGAAATCACAAGCGGAGCGGACGGGGAAGGGCACGACTCGGGGAGACATGTGATGGCACACCACCAGACCCCACAGCCGCACGCCCCCTCCCCCCCCCCCCCTCCCCCTCCGCTTCCCCCTCCCCCTGACACGCTCCCCCCATCGTCTGACCGCATGTCCCACCCATCTCCCCCTCCCCCTCCTCCCCCTCCCCCTCCCCCTCCCCCCGCGTCCCCCCCAGCACCACCCCCCAAGCCCGTTCCAGAAGAAGCACTGGTGCTCCGGGCAAGAACAACACCCTGCTTCCCCTGCTGCTGCTGATCCAACCTTCCCGTCCCTCCCCCCCCTTCCCCTCCCCCTCCGCCCTGCTGGCTCCCCCCCGACTGACTCCTTGCAAACTGCGCCCCGCCAGCCGCCCCCCCCCCCATGCCCGCCCCCGCCCCCTCCTCCCCCCGGCTGCCCCAGCGCGTTCGCCCCGCGCGTGGGCACCATAATAGCAAGCACATAAGATGCTCTGATCCCCATATTGCACATATACTGCACGTGGCACGGGTCCACCGCTCTCAGAGTCGACCCCCCGAGCTTGAGCGGGTGCGGGGCGGAGAGGGGGTGCTGGCGGAGGGGTATAGAGGGGGACTGGCAGTCGGCAACCATGCGCGAACGCGTCTGGAAGAAGAGCAGACGCGTGGCCTGTGGTACGTCCGTTGCTGGGAAGTGAGAGCCTAGGATCGCCTCCATGCCTCCCTCCTCTTCTTCCCCGTCCGCCCCCTTCCCTTGCTCCCCTTCCTCCCCCTGCTGCTCCCTCTCTTTCCCCGCCTCGCTCCCCTCCCTCCCTTCTTCCGCCCCTCCCTTCTTCCCCGCTCCCGCTCCCCCTCCCCCTCCCCCTCCCCCCTCCCCCCTCCCCCTCCCCCTCCCTTCCGCCGCCTTTTCCGCATGTCCTCCGCCACAACCTCCCCATGGCCGTCCTCATGGAACTTATAAGCCACAACGCGGTCATACCCAGTCAACTCTCTCACCTCCTCCACCACCACCTGGCACAGCGCGCTGATATTCCCTGGCGCCACCTTCTGCAGCCGCTTCACTGCCGAGAGGGCCAGCCGGTGGGTGAGCGGCGCACCTGCCCCGTCTACTGCCGGGTCGAGCGGTGTAATGGGCTCTAGGTCTATGCTTATGATGTTGTTTCCTGGGTTGGTGCTGGTGGTAGCAGCGGTGAGGTTAGGGGCAGTGGTGGTGGTAGCAGCAGTGGGTATGGTGGTTGGAAGAGTGGCGACAGGTGAGGTAGGGGTGGCGGTACCAGGGAGTGTGAGGATGCTGCTGCTGGTAAGGCTGGTAGGGATGATGCTGCTCATGCTGCTGGTGCTGGTGCCACTGGTGCTGGAGTTGGCGGTGTCAGAATCGTCAGCAGCAGCGGAGGTGCGGTGGAGAACAGCGTAGAAGGGGCGGTTGGAGTGGCGGCACTGCAGCAGCACAGGGTTCATGGACGCGATGTCGTCTGCTGCCACTGCTTTTTCAAGGGCCTCCACGCTTTCTGGGGTGAACAGGTTCCGGACGTCCATTCCCAAGGCTGCAGGGGAGGCAGGAGGGGAGGGGATTGGGGAGCGAGCAGGGGCCGGGGCAAGGGGATGGAGTAAAAGGGGCGGTAAGAAAGGCGGCACTCCAGCCGCACAGGGTTCATGGACGCGATGTCGTCTGCTGCCACTGCTTTTTCAAGGGCCTCCACGCTTTCTGGGGTGAACAGGCTCCGGACATCCATCCATCCCCAAGGCTGTGTGGGGGGGAGAAGAGAAGGATGATGGGGGGACGGGGAGGATGGGGAGGATGCGGAGGATGGGGAAGGGGGAAGGGAGCGGGGATAGAGGACGCGGTTGGAGCGGAGGCACTGCAGCAGCACAGGGTGCATGGACGCTATATGCCTTGCCATGCCATGTGCTGCTGCCACTGCTTTCGGACAAGCCTCTGTGTGCTTTTCCTAAGAAAACCAGCTCTCCGCATGTCCATTCCTTCCCAACGCCGTGAGGCAGAGAGTGCGGGAAGGAAGATGGGAATGGGGCGAGGGAGTGGAGGGTGGGGAGAGCACCACTCCTGACACCAGTCAACCGTTGCACTCACCTATTTTCGTCTGTGGAAGCGGAGCAACAGCATCCTCCGCCTCTTCCGCCAGAGCACCAGCGCGCGCCCCTTCCCCCTGCGCCCTAGCTGCCGCCTCCTCCAGTCCGCGCCCCACAAAAATGGCGCTGTCACTCACACTTGCTCCGCCTCCGGCTCCTCCTCCGCCTGCGCCCCCGTCTCTCTCCGCGCCCATTCCGCTCGCTCCTCCCTCCTCCCCCGCGCGCGCGTCACTGCTTCCCCTCCCCGCCGCGCCAGCAGCAGCAGGCGCGGAGGACACGGCGGCGGCGGCATCCGCGGAGTGGCGGCGGGATCTCCTTGCGCCCTTGGCGCGGCCGCGGCTGTTGGAGCGGAAGATCGCCCAGCGAATGCGCTCCAGAAAGTTCAGCGCTGGAAGGATTTAGGGAGCGGTTTGAAACGGTGGAGAGGGTAGGGAAGGTGAATTGGAGGCGGGAAGGAAAGAGGGGAAGAGGAATGGGGGGAAGGGGGAAGGGGCACAGTGATGGATGGGAGAGGCGGGGGGCGGGGTGGCAGGGGGAAACAGGGCGGAGAAGAGGGAGGTGGAGGAGGGATGACGGACGTGCGGCAGAGAGATAACGTAATGCCGGACGTGGGTTGACAGCGGTGATGGCGGAAACAATGGAACGGTGAGCAGAGCTGATTCATCGCAACGCCGCTGTCCTCAGAAGGAGGGGATGAGGGGGAATGCACGGGGAACGGGATGATGAGAGGGGGTTGAGGGGAGGGGTGGCAGGAGGATGGGGGAGGGGAAGGGGGAAGGGACAAGAGCGAGGTAAAGGGGTGAAGAAAGGGGGGGGGTGGGGGGGGGGGGAGGGGGGGGGGGGGGGGGGGGGGGGAGAGGGGGAAAGAGGGGGGGAGAGAGGGAAAGAGGGGGGGAGAGAGGAAACGAGGGGGCAATTACGTTTGAGAAGTGTGCTCCCTTCGGATGCCATTTTCACCAGTCGTCTTCTCTCGCCGCCGCCCGCCGCCGCTCCGCCCGCCGCAGCTCCCGCCTCGCCTCTCCGGTTTGCTTCCGCCGTCGGCGCCAACTCCCCCCCTTCTGGAATCGTTTGCGACCGTCCGATCGTCGCCGCCGCCGCAGATCCCGCTCCGCCCATTCCCGCAGCTCCTGCATCCGCGGATCCCGCGCCCGCGCCGGCCGCCGCTGGCGGCGCCGCCGCCTGCATCGACGGCGACTCATTCAGGATCATCTGGCCGGCGTTTTCGCTGAAAGCGACGAGATCGAAGCTTTTTCCGTCGCCGGGAATCGCGAGCAGGCAGCCGAAGTTCTGCACGAGGCCGGGCCGTTGGATGCGCTGTAGGTACGTCGAGACCGCGGCGCGACTCGCGGAGGGCGGCGCGCCGCCCGCGGCGTGCACGAGGTCGACGGAGCGCCGCGCGCTGCGGAACGTGACGCCGCCAGTGGAGGCCCAGAGGCGCGCAGCGGCCAGAAACGACGTGTCCATGTCCGTCGCCGATTTTTTAGGCGCGTCGAAAATGTCGGCCGCCGCCATTTCTGCGACGACGGTGCTGTGCGCAACGAGTGGCTTGAGTGGTCAGAAAGCTAAAACGCCTTAAACTGAGTGGCGTCGGGTGGTGTCTTGTTGTGACCGTACTAAGTGTAGTGGCGGAATTTAGAAGGCACGTGAGGAATGTCGGCTCGTGCGGAACGTAGGAGGATCGTGCTAGGAAAACTCTAGGAAGCGTACGCTTAGCTCCCCACGATCAACCAGGTAGTACTAGAAAATACCGGAATCAGAGCGAGGAGAGGAGCTTCCGTTGAACGTAACGATTACGCGTTCTGATTCGATGTTGCGCCAAGGCACGGAATGACGTCACGGAAGATGGGCTTGAATGTCCTTTGAGAACTCGGAGTCTTGATTATAGATACCCCTCACAACCCGTTCGAGTAATCTCTGATTGGCGGATAGTAATTGACGGGATGCGGCCGGTTGAACTTTGGCAATGGCGAAGGCGCTGATTGACATGCGCAAAAAGACTCACACACTAAGACGCGTGTGCTTTTTTTTATCTCAAAAAAACGTCTGCTGATAGCCATAGAGCTGATAGAAATGCGCAAAGAGACTCACTCACTAAGACGCGTGAAAAACGCCTGCCACCTAAAGACAGGCAGGCAGCGCGATCAGCATGTGAGCCGCTGATAGGGTGGGTACTACCGCCAGGACGATGGCATGCGATCGCTTTTTGCTGCAAACCAAGGTGCTATGGGTGGAATAAGCTAATCAGAATGCACCTAGACGGAATGCGTGAGTTATCGTACAATAACTATGGATAGCGAGGGTGGTGGGGACAGCCACCATTTTCGATGACTCTGTCTGCCGTACATACAGTGAACAATAGGTGGAGCATAGGAGGATGGAAAATGTCGCGATTCGAGGAGCCGATTCTATCTATGCTCAGATGACGATGACACTGTCTGGAAGGGCAAGGAGGGAGGGAGGATGAGAGAGGGAGAAGGGTGTCTGTGGGAGTCTGGTTTGGCTGTTCTGGCTGGGAGCAGGGCCGTCGCTTGCAGGGCGTTTGCCCTGCTGGACCTTGAATTCCAGGGCTGGATTGCCCTTGAAAACTAAAATTAATGGGCTGGAAATGTTCTAGCCCTGATTCTTTACAGGGCTAATTTTGGGCTCAGGCCTGGTTGAAGGGTAGATATTAGGCAAGCCCTGGAACAAAATCTTTCTAGACCCCCCTCCCCCTCCCCTCCCCCCCCCCAACCCTCCTCCCTCTCCTCTCCCCTTCTCCCCTTTGTTTCTAACCTGATTGCATCCAACAAGGCAAATTTCGAGTTGCTTGGTTGGGCCACAAATTCAACTCAACCTAGAACTTGTGCTAGGGTTGACGGTTAAGGTTGTGTAGAAGTGCACAAGAACTACCCTGAAGGTTGGGTAGTGGAAGTGCACACGATCATCGGTTCTGCAATGGCTAGGAAGCCTGCAAAGCGTGCGTAGTGATATGACGCTAACTATTTCTCTTTATGTCCTGTTTGCTTGCTTGTGGTTCATCTCAAACGTAGTTGTAAGCTTGGTAGTTGAAATGAGGCTCTCGATTTTTTTCGCGCCAAACCTGATTGAAGGGAGGAAACTTTCCTGCCCTGAAGCCTCAGGGGTCGAGATTCGCCCCAACCCTGCTAAATACAGGGTCATACATGCCGGGCCCCCTGATTTGTCTGGGGGGGCCAAAACGAAACGACAGGCCTGGCTGGGAGAGCTGGATGGATTGGAAAACGACATTCAAGATTTGGGCCCACCAGATACATGCTAGACGACAGAAGCTCCTTCCACAGCTTCGATCCGTAAGACGACATCTTCTGCCCCCCCGCATCGTTCATCGGCAGGCCCATGCATCAGATGGACGGTTGGGATGATTGAATGTCAGCAGCCGCTGCGCACTGCCCATTTGCCATTGCCCACTGCCTATTTCCTCGTTACCCAAAACACAAGCTGTTTCGTGGAGGCAACACCCGACGAACCCCTTTTCAACGGCTTATGGCTAATGCTCGTGCGAAATCCCCACCACACCAAGCTAGAGTTCCTTGCTCGGTGGTGTCTGTGCAATCTCAAACACGAGATTTTCAAATCATCGCGTGCTGGCGTATTTCCTTTCAAATCTGTCAATAAAGAGAGTACTTTTTCGAAGCTTCTGCGATGAGGTGAAGCAATCCCGAGTTCCGTTCCCACGTCAGGAGTATCAAGATACACGTCAGCGAGGTTCTCCGTAGCTGAGATGGCGAATCATGGCTGGACATTGTGATTGTGGGGAGATTTGCGGCACGAGCAGCGCGTTTGAGAACATCAGCCACATGAATGTTCTGTTTTTCGTGAGATGGTGTAAACAAGTGTTTTAAAACATTTCAGAGGAAATGGCATATATACTGCATGCTTAATCAAGCATAACATTGTCAATCATGCGTGCCTAGAGAGTTTGAAAAAACAAAAAGCTGCTATTACATGCTCCAAAATGACAACGATTACTTGCAAGTATTTTAGATGTTTCACAGTCCTGCCGCCAATAAATGGGAAACGGTTGAGACATTGGGCCGAGCCCCGTATCACCAACTGAGGCCTATTATTGGGGTGGGGTGTGACTGCGAAATGGTAATGGGCGGGTGAAGGATAGCGACATCTTAATGGGAATCAGCACTTGCGATGCTCATAAACATCGTTGTGCGAATCTTTCCTATAATAAGGGTACATTCCTGCCTTGACACTTGTGTCTCAATGCCTGGTTTCCCGAGTCGCGCCTGTAAATTTGCCTATCTACGCGTCACAAAAAAAATGATGTACAGCGACATCGTGCGACTCAGAGTGTTGTACACCTGTCGACTTGCAATTGGACCCGCACCTTTTGAAGCGAGCGCTCTCATTTTGGCGCCGGGCAGACAGGTTAAACCAAGGGTTCCAAACGATGATGGGGCGAGTTGGCGAAACCACCAACCACCAAAGAGCCACAATGCACCTACAACTACAACTACAAACATAAAAAGGCAAAGCATTCACAGCATGGCCCCCACTCAAATCAGCCATGGCAGAACCCAGGGCTGTTCCCTTCCTCATGCGACTCCTAGTCGCATGGATCTCGTTCTACTACGACATCTTCATGGACGCAGTCGCCAAGGGGGTAGCCGGCTTGCTGGAGTCGCAAGTCTTCGACGACGAGAACACGTCTACCGCGACCTCTCACAGCTCCACCAGGTTCGCCGAGCGTACAAGGAGAGGCAGCTTGAGGCGCCGGCGTTACGCGCTGCTGCTCGAGAACCTGCGGGGAATGGGAGACGGGGAGTTTAGGGACATTTACCGAATTAACAGGGCGATTCTCGCCCACGTGGCCGAGGGCATGAAGCACTACATGCAGCCGTACGTGTACCGTTACTACATTAGCCACGAGGTGGCAAACCTTGTGCCGATCAAGTACCTAGCGAGTGGACCCTCGTACATAGACCTTTCTCACCTATTCGGGTTGTCGAAGACATCGTGCCACGAGCTCAACGATGTGTGGCTAATGCATTTCGCCACGGTCTTCAAACAACAGTGGGGGCACTTCCCCACCCGCGATGACCTTAACGAAATGGCCGAGGAGTTTCGGGGTACCTGCGGGGTACCTGCGGCAGTGGGGAGAGGCGGTGCACACGATCAACGCGTGTTCATGGACAGTGCGTTACATGAGAGGTTGCAAAACGGCGACATTGCGCCGTATCAAATAGTCGGTGATGCAGCCTACCCCCTGTGGGATTTCTGCCTAACCCCCCTGCATGCACCCCGCGAAGGCCTAATGGAGGATTGGGAGCAGTGCTTCAACTACTGCCAGAGCGCGACGCGCATGGCAGTGGAGCGCTGCATCGGCGCCTTCAAAGGCAGGTGGAGGCTCTTCGCAGGCCGCGATTACTGCACGCTGTGGCGCGTCCTTGCAGGGGCGATGCACAACATGTGTGAGACGATGGGGGACGTGAGGCGTGTCAATGAGGGATGGGCAAACTTGCCACGGAACCGGGATCCTTGGTGGACCCGCGGCGCAGCAGCAGTATTCAAGTGGGAGCCGGCCGTGCCGTGCAACCAGGCGACTCTCCGTGAAAGGCGGAAGAGGCTCGGTGAAGCGTTGGAGTCTTCCTACCTTACACGGCGTCGCCGCGAACCCACATTTCCTCGGCCTCGTCCGGAGTAGCTTCCCCACCGCCGTGATCACCGCGGCGGAACCAGACTCCGTCGTCGCCTTCGGCGGCGGCCGCTGCGGGCTGTGTAGCGGCATCCGCGGGGGCTCTGTTGACGGTTGGTGGCGGAGGGGCCGGCAACTGGTTGCGGGCGCGTGCAATCTCGGCGTCCTGCTGCATCCAAGCGCGGACGAGCCCCTCCAGCTTTACCATCGCATCCGCGTGGCAATCCTTGATGGTGTCGGAGACAAGTTTTGCCGCGGCCATGGTAGCCGTCTCCGCTACGCGCGGGCGCTTGGAGGGAGGCGTCACCGGAGTGGGGGCTGCACGTTCACATATTACAGTAGGCCCAAATGAGTTTGCTGTGATGTTGTGCCGTATGACACCAAGGTTAAATGACAATCATGTTGCACATCTATGCGTACAAACAAACAAAGCAAACACGCCCAAAGCAACGGAAAATAGCTCACCCATGAACGTGGGCGTTGAGGTGCATGGCGCGGACGTCGACGGCACCGCGAAACCGCACGGCGCATTCACGTGTGTGGC